GTGGGCTAGTCGTCAGGTTGTCCATCACAAATGTTATCCAAATGTTCTCCATGTTCTAGACATGTGGATTGGGTCAGGCGACATTTCCATGGCTTTGCTATGCTTTGCCCTTGGCACGTAAAGGTACTTGGATGACAGCACGAGCCGTTTCTTGACGGAGCATGACGAAGGTCGGAATGAAAGCAGGCGCCGTTGCCAGGACAGTGGCCCGGGTGACCCGCAGATCTCTGCAACTTGACACACAATATTTTTATAGTTAACCAGAACCGAACGAATGAACAAACATGTATTGTGAATTGTCGCGAATGCTATTATAATCTATTATCCACCAATTTGAATACAATAAGCATCCAGTTCTCACTTGACTTCACTTGTTGACCACCCCAGTTGTGAGTTCGGGATGTTTTGATATGTTGGTGCAGCTATTCTTCAGCTACCCTCTGGTAATTTAACATAGCTATTGAAAATGGCCATTTATAGTGAGTTTTCCCATTAAAAATGGTGATTTTCCATAGCTATGTTAAATTACCAGAGGGTATATCTTCTACCGATTGCAGGGGTGACTTGGAAGTTCACCTGGCATCGCATCGTTATGCGGATGGTGCCTCACCGCTTCACATGGCAGCTATGTTTTTGGGCGTCGAGTCGACGGGGACTGGGACTCTCCGGATGTTTTCATCTGTTTTTCAATGGGGATGACTCGGAACACAATGGATTGGTTTAAGGGAAAATCTTAACCGGAAACCATAGATTTTCCCATTAAAAAAAAGGGGCTTTCCTGTAATTTTTCCCTTAAACCAATCCATTGAAAAACACATTGTAAAGCAAAACAACCATCATAAATTGGGGGGAGTCGGGTTCAGCCCAAACTGTTTGGTGGTGCGACAAATCATGTGTCGATACCAAAACTGATGGTGTAAGACTCCGTAGCTCCCGAAGAAGACTTGGAAGTAGTACACCTGAGGTATCGGAGTAGTACACCTGATTCCCATACCATCCAAGTTATCCAAGGTTTGGCTTTCCTCAAGCCTTGAGATCTTTGTTGCAGTCTGGTGCTGATCTGAATGTCACCAGTCAGTCAGGATGCTTGGAACAGGGAAAAGCGAATTAAAAGTTGAAACATGTTGAAACTGTTTCACCTGAGTCACCTCAGTCACCTCAGTTGTGAGGACTTCAAGCCATTCACGCAGCAGCCATTGCGGGCCATGCAGATGTTGTGGAGATCCTAGTGGAACATGGAGCAGATCCCAACTCGCGCCATAGATTTGCCGGAAATTCGCCATTGCTCATTGGCTTCAAAGGGAAATGGATTGGAGTTGGATGATTTTGATTAATCTTGTATAATGTTGTATTATATGATATATAATATTATATTATATCATCTTATATTATCTTTTATAATATAATTATATATTATATATTATAGTATTTTATATTCTTCCGGGGTCTCTAAATTATCTTATTTCCTAAGTTATTGTGGATAAAGCCACTTTTTTCAATCTTTTCCCAGGTTTCTCATGTTTTCCCCAGTTTCCCGGAAAGGTCTGGCATCCCCATGGCTTTCCGCCAGGCACTTTGCTGCCGAGATGGGCCATCTGTCGGTGGTGCGTCGCCTCTGCGACTTGAAGGCTGACGTGGAAGCAGAGAAGATGCAGGGAGGTGGAGCATGGGGGGTCACCGGGGCTCCAGGTCCTCCAGGTCATAGATGACCATTAAAATGGAAACATGATGACTGGGGGGTTCCATAAATGGGGTACCCCTTGATAGAAATGGATGGTTTATTTCATGGAAAATCACGTTCTCTATTAATAGCTGGATGATGACTACTAACGGGTACCCCCATTGATGGAAACCTCCATATAGCTTAGTATTGAAAGCCATAGGTGACGTTTTTTTTGGATCCAGCAGGCCATTTTAAGAACCCCCCATGTTCTCATGATGAGTCACCAATGGAATGGGTCTTTAGATACACAATCCATATCAGATTGTTGATTAGTTAGATTGTTATATATCCCGGTATCCCCATTACCCTCTGGTAATCAAACATGGCTTGTTGGAAAATCGCCCAGCAATACTTTCGATATCTTTCGATCACCTCATGGATTTTTGACCGTGATATAGAGATAATATCAATGACATCAGCACACAAATGAAACATATATGATTTCACATCCCCACTATGTTCCTAAACATGTTATCATAATTTAATTAGGTTCTTTGTGGGAATAGGGATATTATACATGCGGATATTTATCTAGATCATGTGGTTATAAGGGGAAGTGATGGGAGTATAACCACCAAGGGTCCAGGGTTGGATCAACTCAAGGATTTTCAATCTGAGATATTTGGATATCAATGATATCACGATAGATCCGAAAATTGGGGTTCCAAGGGGACATTGGTATGTAGAAGCAACTTTAGTGGATATGTCATTGTATTTCACTCACGTATACTATGGCATGCTTTATATCCCAATGGTATTTCGGGTGGGTCATGACCTGTGATAAGCATACCATGTTTGATTCTTTTCAATATATGAACTGACATAGCTACTAATGTAAATCATTGGGAGCTAAACATTCAAAACTGGCTGATGCAACCGTGGGTTTTTGCCAACCATTCACGCGTATCAAGGTGAAACAACGGAGTTGTTGGATTGGAACCATCCTCACTTATCACCACTAGGATGCACAACCCCTCATCATTGGCATGTTTACTTGCCTTGAAATCAGTAGGTTATATTTTACTTTAGGATCTATACACACCATTTACAACATTTTGCCTGCAAACACAGGGGGAGTTTGCCAAACAACATTGAAAGGTGACCAACCGTTTGTCCGACATTTATCAAGGTGGGTTGGAACAGTGTTTGTTCACCCACCTTGAGGCTTGATATGATTGGATACTGGAAGTCCTGAAAGGGCTCGAATCTGTGGTTTGGCCTAATGTTTTGGCCCATCCTGTACGATTTTTTGGCACACAAAACGACTGAAATTTCAAGGCATGCAATCGACACATGTTTTTTTTGGAACAGGACTGGGTTCGGTAGGCCCCAATTTTTTGACCATATTTGCCATAGCCTTCGGTAGTCCAACATTTCATCTAAAAGGCTCGACTACATGATGTTCATTGATTTTCCGATTTTTACCATAGTTTCCCAGGGTTTCGCATGTTTTTTCGACATTTTTACCATGATTTCCACTTGAAATGCAGCCCTCTCCACGTCTGTAGGTACTGCCCTGCATACAGCTGCAGACACCAACAATGCCGCTGTAGCTCAGGTCCTATTGGACGCTGGGACCATAAATCCTCAAACAGCTGGGATATAGGATAGCCTTATATGATAATATCATAGTATTTCATAATATTTCATAATATTTCATATTACTACTCCATGATAAATCTGTTTTTTATCCGTCTATTATCGTATATCCTCTACTATATTGGTTGCTTTATCGTGAATTAACAACCCCCATGATCCATATGAATTAGAACAAACATCCTACGGAGGCCCTGTCCAGCAACCAACGTGGACAATTCTTCAGGTGTCCCTCTGCGCACTGCATATCACTGGATGTTTACCATTCGAGGATGAGTTGGCCAGAACCTGCAGGGGGTCGAAGCAAACATCATCAAATATCGATACCTCAGATTTTTTGATGGATTAGGTCGAAAATTCACAAGAAACACCTATGATTTGTTGATATATTTACTGATTTCATGTGATTTTACCGTTTGAACATGTCAATCTCTTCAGGGAGTTCATAGCCTCCTGCCCTCAGATGGGTCCAAGGAATCTTGCGCTGCGGACCCTGAAGCTCTACTGTTGGGAGATACGGTTCCACTGTATCTGGCAGCCCCTTTGCTGACGAATTTGGTTTATAAATAGCATTTATATTGTGCATTAACTATATTTAACTATGGTTTATTATGTTTTTGCTCAAGTCCCAGTTTATTAAAATGAATGTGCGGGTCTATTCATTAATCCGGACATATCCGAAAATGACATTAGATATCTACAACTAAGTGGTTTGCCAGTTTTTGTACTGGCCCCTGAGTTGGTTTCTGTGTCTCAAAGCTTGAATGAGTAGAGAGACCTTAGCGAGACACTGGGCCCAGGAATGTATCCCATCAATTTGCATGGCAACAGGTGGAATGTCAACTTGCTTGTGACAGATCTAAACCTGGTGCCGGGTCGTACTCAGGGTTTATATCCTCTGGTCATCTAGCGAAAAGCAGGGTTTTGAATGGGCCAAAGAGCTAAATCATCAAACTCAATGGGCTGTCTATACCATTGCTATGTGAAATGACTAGAGGGTAGATGTTCATTCCCCTTACCACTGCAGTATTTCTGTAGGTTTTTTTAGGATTCGACCCATCGCCAGGCTGGTCGTGGATTTCCGAAAGTCATCGATGTGCTGATAGCTGGAGGGGCCAACCCTGATAGGTGCCGTGGAATTGGAGATGTTGGAAAATCTGGGACGATGGATTGATGGAACTTAGAGTCACTGGTGACTTTACGATGTTTAAAAAAGACTCATGTTCGCATAGGTATGAACTGTACCAGTTGCCCGGCTGGGAGAAAATGCCGATGTAGGTCATGTAAGTTATGTGATGGTTAATATCTGGTTGGTGCTTTGGAACCATGGATTTTTATATGACTTTCCCATCATATTGGGAATGTCATCATCCCAACTGACTTTCACTCATATTTTTCAGAGGGGTTCAAACCACCAACCAGAATATGATTACCCTCCAGTAGTCAAAGGTGGATGGAGAATCCCCCAACTCGCCGAGGTTGGTAGCTGGAAAATCATCGGTTACGAACTGGGAATTTTCCAGCATTATTTATGACACCAGAGGGTATATGCAACATATTAAGATAGCCTCCTGTAATCAAACATGGTTTGCTGGAAAATCACCCATTTATAGTTGATGGTGAGCTTTTTCAGCCATGGCTGCATCCACATGGATTCCGATGCGGATGACTCCGAGTTTGAAGCCGAGGACTCTTCGTTCCAGACGAGTGCGCAGCAAAGGGAAGGCCGCGACTCCTGACTTTGCGTGGAAAATGGAAGGAAACCACAATGTACAATATGTGTTTATCGCTGGTAAACCATCTCATTTGGTTTCCCAAGCGCCCACATGTTCAGAATGGCTCCCCAAGATGTCTCAAAGATAGAAATGTAGGTCGCCATCAGAATTGCCAAAAAATAGGAAAAAATGAAAAAGGGGTCCATCTGCCTGGGGGAAATCAGGGATTCCGGACCATTCTGGACCATTCTGGACTAGGTCACCTCAGCTTCTCTGCCCGGCAGCAGCCCGGATGCACCGGGCTGGGAAGAGGGAAATGGTGCGACGCCCTGGTGACTTGTCGAAGTTTTCCAGGTTTGCGCATCGAAGATATGGGGGTTGTTTGGAAATTGCAGTTTTCCATCGGGGGTGAATCATATGAAATCAAACAAAAAACATGGGTCTAGAACAAGATGCAAAAGGTGATTTTCCAGCAACAATCTGAGGATGCAATCAGATTTGCTATTCATGAGGCATTCACTCAGAATTCCATGGGAATTTCTTGGGCCTATGTTTGGATACCGGTAATGTTTAAGGATAAACCAAAAAACCAATGACACCGTGCCGATCCAGGCACAATGCCTGCGAGAACGGCCACCTCTCAGAGACTCGGATGCTGTTGAAACCGGGATGGGAGAACCATGGGATAACCATTGGGATAACCATGATCAATGCTATTTGATCCCTAAAAATCCCAAAAATCCAGATTTTTTGGTGATTTAAGTCATTGAATGAAGTGGATCCACATATGGATCCACATGGATTTTTTCGCCATCAGATCATTCCGGGAGGTGTTCCAACCGATTCTCGGCCGATTCTCGGCCCAAGTCCAGGCTGTAAGAGCCTTTCTGGATGCTGGAGCTCGACAACTGAACACCATGGAAGGCGGCATCCACGCCTCTCTTTGGATGGATGAACCCTAAAAATCTGGGTCTCTTTTGAGGTTCAGTTGGTGTTGGGAAACCCCTCTTTTTGATGTCACAGCCATTCCCTATGTGTTTTTTCCGATTTTTGTTGATGAACATCCAGGACCATGTTTCTTTCACTCATGACTTCTGCATTTTTCCTAGGTTTGAAGGCCTCGACTTGTCCCACTTTTCCGCCATTCCAGGTGTAACACCTCTGATCACCGCCCTGCAGTACTCGCACCCGGAGATCGCCATGGCGTTGCTAGATGGACGAACACCAGCACAGCTGGATGTGACATCTCCTAGAGACGGGTCACTGGGTTGACATCAAAAAACATTGTTCAACTTGTTTTTTGATGATTTCCGGTGCTTTGAAGAGTATCATTTTCATGTTTTCTGCTTTTTTTTGATTGGCTTTTAATGGCTTTTGTACTGGCTTGATGCCTTTCTGTTTTTGGAAGTGTGGTTGGTGGCATCACGTGCCTCGGTATTCAAGTTGAATGACTTTGATCCTCCAGAGCAAACAACAGTCGCAGGATTGAGTGCTGGGGGAAAACCCATCCATCGAAACGGCCCTCAAGTGGAGTTTCATTGGATTTGGTTAGGGAAAGTCTGAGGAGAAGCCATTCAATTTGGATGGTCAATGTGTCAAATGAGTCATGGGTTTCCGGTTCAGATGTTTCCCCAGTTGGTCAAAAGATGTCAAAAACCCATGGATTTCCGGTGAAGATGTTCCCGGACTCGAGGCAGTCCGCCCTGCACATCGCCAGCGGCCTGGGCTTCGCGACGGTCGTGGCCCGGATTCTCCACTTGGGCGGCCGAAGCGACGTCCGAGACCGTGCAGGTTGGCCATGGGGCCATGGGGTCAATGGGGCCAGCCATAGTGGATCTGGCAACAGTATAGCAGCCCCCCCAAAATGTAAAACCATGTAAAACCCAATCCTACTCAAATAGTGATAGATGAATATTTAGATGACTTTTCCATGCTTTTCCATCTTTGTGGAGCTTCCGGATCAGTGAAAACCATCATGTCAGGCTTTGTGACATTCTGATGACTCATTTTCATGGAGATCATATCGACCATGAATCATGGGTATGCAATGAGAAACAATAGGGAGATAGCCAGTAATAGGAGGTGTGTGTGTTTTTTTTTGGGTTTGTCCAAAAATGACCAATACAAGCCTCAGATTATACACCTTTTTTTAACTGGAAAAAATGGTGAGGAATCATTGCATGGCAACACAGGGACATACCAAGTTGTTTCTTCCCGCAAGACACATGGAGTTGAGAAGACTGCTTATAGCATATAGGTTTCCATTGCCATGGTCGTTTCAAGGGCAAGACATCAACTGATGTTTGATATTAATGTTTCTCTCCTGGTCTCGGGAGTTAACCATATGGTTGAAAAAAAAACTCTGATTTTCCATATGTTTCACATGGATGATGCCGAGAATCTTAGTGTCCATACTTTTTCTAAGTTTTCTCTTATTTTTCCTGGCATGATTCATTGGATTGGTTTACGGGACAATTTACAGGAAACCCTCATATTTTGATGGCAAAAATATCATGGTTTCCTTAGTTTCCTGTAGATTTTCCCATATTTTCCCTTAAACCAATCCAATGAATGATTACTTGACGCCAAACCAGGCCACCTACCGCTTGACTACGCTGCAAGTGGCCCTGTGCGTTGGTTGCTGCAGCGTTTTCACGGCAGGGATCGCCACTTAGAACCTCGGAACGGCGAGTCAAACGATTGCAGCTGATGCTTCCAACAGAAAATCCAATGGGAAATCCAGAGATATTGTGATTAAAACTAGATATTAGAGATGATATTAGTCTAACATCCTTCATAAATGGTGGGTTTCAATGAAATTGGTGATTTTTCCGAAACCACTTCGGGAATCGATGCGGGGAATTACAGGTTGGGGATGTTTGGGGACCTTAAGTTTCAGGACGAGGAACGGACTTCTGCTTAAAGCTGCTTGAATTTGGCGATGAATTTCCCGAAAAGATTATTATGAGATTCCAAAGTTTTGAAATGTTCGCAACGAACAGGTCTGCAGGGAAGAAGTGGCCTTGAATATACCCTCTGGTTATGACTAACATAGCCATGGAAAATCTCTAAATGGAGGTTTCTAGCTGGGAAAATCATCTATTTCTATGGGCCATCTATACATCTATACCATGGCAAACTGTGAATGTCATAACCAGAGGGTATTTGATTTTGTCGCATTTTCTGCGGCCTCTTTTTGTGGCTTTGGAACTCCAAGGATTCCATTGCGCGCTCCTACCTCAGCGGTGGGTTGGATGAAGCCCTAGGGCAGATCGATGGAGCTGATGTAAGTGCTGTGAAGAAGGAAACCTACAGGTGTGGCTGGTGGATGTGTGGGTGCTGTCAGAAAGATTCCCTTGGAATATCCGAGTCATAGTGATAATTACTGGATACTCCTAGAAGGAGGCCAAACAAAACACTCGCAATGCGGCCAGATTCAGAAATTCGGCTCCGGCCTTGCTGTGTTGGCAAACCAATTGATTACGTCATTTGTTTTGGTTGATATGGTTTATAGATGTTCTGTTAATAGTCTGTATTACTTTTGAAAATGACGGCGTGCAAAGAGGTGTTATATAAATAGGTGTTCAGAATTTCTGATGTGAATTCCAGCGTTGTCAGGAAATATTTGGCCGCGCATCACGATGGCACGCTGCCAGAAGAGGTCTCCCAGCTGGCTAGGCTCATCAAAGAGGACCCAGGGCTGGTTCCAACCAGATGTGGAAAACCTGCAACCGGTTTTGTGTTTTTTTTGTCCCACAAGCCACATGATGACATATCATAGAGAAGGATATTGGGATGGGTTTTAAATGGTTTTTAACATGTTTAACTACCCATCAATACCCATAAATTCCATAAATATTAACGTGGAATGAGAATATCCAGGAACAACAAGTGATGCAAACCAAGGGTAGGTAATACCTAACATACCACCTTTTTTCATGTTGGTTTTTCCCACCGGATCTGTCGTCTTTCTGCCAGCCGCCGCCGGCCTCGACTCCCATGGCCGCCAGGACGTCGGAGAGATGGCAATGTTTCAGTTCTCTGTGGCTCGATATCTGCTGGCGGGTGCCAGTGATTTACCTACGGCCATCGAGGTCGGAAGCTGCGAAATCTCCGGGAAATCTCCTAACGTTGAAGCCATCATTCAATTCATCACCCATGACGGATCCATGGTGCTGGTATATTAATGCTAACATTATTTGGGGGATATATTGATGGAATCCATGGAGCACCATATATAGCAGCACCAGCCGGATCCGTCATGGGTCATAGGTCTTGATTCATTGAGGTGTCAATTTCTGGCTGTCAATGACTGTTGAATCTTCCGCTGGGATCCGAGGGGTCAAAGATCCGACTGTCAGTGGTGACCCCAGTGGTAGGCTAACTGTTAACCAGTTTTTTGAAGCCCCAGGGAGATCACCATAGATCATATTGATCATCAACTTTATCACCAGGAGATCCAGTCATAGAAGATCTAGGCTATACATCATCACCAGTGATTAAGGCCCATGAATAGTCTATGGGATGATCAAGTCCCCAAGGGGCCAATCCTTTCATCCAGCTCCCAGGCAATGCTGAGTGGCGACAGCGAGACGGCCGTCCAGGTGGGTCTCGTTTTGTTGGGAGTGACGCGGAAGGTGAGTTACCAACCTGGCAGAGCACCTTGGCTCCGGATGGGTCGAAGGGTCGAGTAGCACTCTGGTAGTCTGGTAATGTCTGGTAGTCTGGTTTTCTTGGCCAATTTGATGGGAAATCCACATGGTGAAGATGGTTGATTAATGTTTATTATAAGCTTAAGATGGAAAACTATGAAGAGCATCATCCCTAGTGGATTGAAGAAATGGCCGGAATGATAGCAGGTTGATCCTTTTTGTGCGACCCCCTCATTGATGAGCGTTTGGATGAGAATTGATCCGAGCTTGACATGATATATGATGTTTCAATGCCAAATGAATACACATCATACAAATGCCATGCACAATAGTTCATAATAGTTCATATGTTGTGACATAGCAGTACTCTCTGATGATTATGATATCAATTCGGATGATTCTCATTCGGCTATTCTTTTGCTTCCCTCCTTTCAGGCGCTGTGGGTGAACGGTGTGCAGCTTCTTCCGCAGCTGCAAAATCTCTTGAAGGCGGCTGCTGAAACGTCTGATGCCGCAGCATTGGAGGAGATGGCGTGACGAAGCCAAAGCCATTCCATGGGGGAGCTTAGCCATGAACAGTGCCCTCTGGTAATGACTAACATATTTAACACATTATAGCTATTGAAAATGGCCCAGTCGAAATAGTTGATTTTCCCATATTTTCCCATTAAACATTGCCATTTTCAATAGCTATATGTTAGTCATTACCAGAGGGTACCTTTGTTGATTGGTTCTGGTAAGGCGTTAGTTATACTCGCTGGTGGGGATTATGAACTAACCCATGAAATGACCTCGAAACCACTCGAAACCACTCAGTTTTTTGTATGAGAATATATAGAGGTATTTTTCATGGATCATTTGGGACACTTGGGCCATGGTCAAGTTACATGGAATGAATTGGTTATGGCATGTTATGGCCATCCATGCCACAATCGGAATCCATGGATATGCATGGACTGACGACCATCTTCCAGTATGTGTATATGTAATCCAAGTTTTGACGGGCTGCACACATGTATGGGTTCTTAGAATTGGGGGTAGTTACCTCAAAATTGGATAATCTATGATAATCTATACAATATGCTAAATCATTCAAATCACCGTTCGGGGAAGATTTTTGGATACCATGTTAAGAAATAGGCAAGAAAAAAAAGACGACATTGTTTCAAGGACACAGGAAAAAATTTGGGGACGTTGCCATCCAAATAGTTGTGTTTTTTCCTGCAAACAGTTTTAGATGGATGGTTTGAAATCCAACAATAGGTGGTAGCTGACAAAAATACTAAATCAATAAGTGTAGGCAAAACATGTGCCCCTGAATTGGACCATAGGAAAATCTGTGAAGATCTGCAGGAACCCCCTATCATTTTAGGTCAAAACTCACGTTTTCCTCTAATCTTTCTCTTAAATCAATCCATTGAGTGAGCCCATTGATATCATCACAACATCAGCATGAACACATGAACTCATCATAAATATTCATAAATCACATCAGTCACATCAGAATCGCATGATAGTATCATTTTTGTCAATTTCATCCATCTCATTCAGTTTCACATTGCTGAATACATAAGAGCCCAAACAGCCATCAATCTGATCCATTTTGTTAGAATGCAATCCCAGAAATGTCCGTGCCCAGTTGCAAAATCTTGAACACACAAATTTGTGACAAAAATGTCTCTACCAGGGCAGTAAGTGTTTTTCTTTTGCTGATTGACGTCACCTGAGAGCGGTAGATATGGTAGATCCTCATCGCCAAGGTCGGTTCACTTGTGACTGAGGCAAGACCTGCTACGGAGCATTGAACCATTGCAGCGTTCCGAGCTGTAAACGTTCCGGGCTGTCGATCAACTGGATTGGAAGCTTCAAGATCCGACAGGAGGAGGAGCCGGGTGATACTCTTGGCCATTCTTGGCCCCATCGGCTGGAAGAAGGCTGGCTGTTTCGTATTACCACATGGATTATAAGTTGGGGAAAACCCAACTTGCCCCATTTGCCATCCATGAATATCCATGATTCAATTTCAGTGAAAAGGCACTTGTATATTCATGTTCCAAAGAAACGCTAAGGAGGTCTAAGGAGACTTGTGACATGTTTTTAAGCTTTCATGATGGTGGAGTGGCCATTCGTGGCCAAATCCCTGGGAACTGGAAACCATCTCAACAAACACCAGCGCTGCGAGTGCTGGCGGTTCCAATATGTCCCGGACCCAGGGGGGAGGCCATTCCTTTGATTTCAGGTCAGCTTATGATGCTTATGTCAGCTTCCAGAATCCTCCAGAATCCTCGAATCCTCCAGAAGGTGCCGAAACCAGCCGACACTGAGAAGCAGCTGGGAAGCATTTGGGAAGTTCCCAGTGACGAGTCTCCGAGCGAGACGCGCATGTCGAGATTACACGAGCTATGGTTCATCATGGTTCCCAAAGGGCTTTCCAACCATTTCCAAGGGGCACATCATGGGCACATCCTACTCATAGTTTCACCTTGACGAGCCCTGAGCTATGTCTATCCAAGGTCTGCCAGAGCTAACTTGGGCTGAGAGGTTACTATTTGCACTGACCATTTGCAGGTGATTCTCACCCGAACCGCTGCAAAAAATCAAGGCATCTCCAGGCCTCCAAGCAGTTCCCCAGTGAATTCAGAGTCCAAATCTGGACAACCCCGGAGAGATCCCCAATCACATCCAGTACAACTTGGACGTCTGCAGCAATGCCGAAAAAGATGCACGAAATGGCAACTTTTCCATGGCAGGTTTGTGCAAGATGCAGGGTGCCAAGATTCACAAGATGCATCCTTGGAACCATGCCCAATGCAAGACTTTTCGAGGCTTTTCCTCCGTTTTCTAGCCAAACTATAAGCTTTTTCAGAAAGATTGCAACAATTTGTCACTCTCTGCCAGACTGTTTGGATCTGTTTGGAAAGCTCTGACCACAGAATTTGGATCATTTGTTTAGGCAAGTGACCAACTATGACCAGCTATGACCAACTGTTTTTTGAAACAAACGTGTTTCCTTATGATTCTTTGGCAATTTAAAATGCTGCGCCCAAGACTTTCCCTGGGTCATCAGTCGTGAGATTTTGAGTCAGGTTGTTGAAATATATCCACTGCAACTTGGAAGTTTACGGCCAGAAAGATGCACCTAAAACGAGCGTGAAATGAGTTTTTTTCTCTGGTACAAAGCTTCATACCCCTATTCGGGATGTAAAATGATGCCCAAGTGGTGTATTCTTGCTTTAACCACATGTTGCACGGACGAACCAAAAAATATGGGCGCGTTTTGGCACCGGAGAAACAGCAGATTTTTCTGTCGCAGTTGCTGCAGGAACTGGTTTTCGGCAGACTTCGGTGCACAGGAAACAGGCATTTCACCATGGTAAAATTTGAATATCATTTATTATCAATCTCAATGTCAGCCCATTTCATGCAAGTCCATTTAGCCATTGTGACGTGTGGATTTATATCCTTTCATGTCAAGCAAGTCCGATCCATGAATCCAACATAATCCAACAATGTTAATCATGTGTCAATCATATTATTAAATATGTTCATATTTGAAACAACTTTGAGACAGACAACACAGTCAAGTGTGGTTCACAAAGTCCATAGCTCCATGCCGAGAAAAAATCACGGCGAAATTCCCGACGGAAATGGCGTCAGTAACTCAGTTGAGCTGGAAGACAATCTCAACTCCGTATCCTTCCTTGATGGCATTGTTTTGTTTATTAAAAATTCAGTGAAAGATACCTGATCGAATGAAGTTGAGAAGTCAAGCTTCTGACAATATGGACAGATGAAAAAGCAGAGGTGGGAAGAGTCAGAGAAGAGAAGAAGGAAGAAGATCAGAGAAGAGAAAGAGTCACAAGAAAGAAGATGCGGGCGCGCGAAAAGGTAGAAAAGTCGCGAAAACACTGTTTTTCCAATGCTTTGGGGCTCCGGAGGGTCGAAAAGTAGGCTCGGTAAAGCGGCGGGTGCGGAGCCATCTGGCCAGATGAGAGATGACAAATTGCAGGCTGTTGTGGCGCGAAGCAATTTTCGCAGTCAAAATGTACAAAACACACCATTCTCGGAGCACTTTTGGAAGTTGAGATGTCGAAAAAGTGCACGCCATTGCACGCCGTTGTGGTGCGAAGCACATTTCGAAGTCAAAATGTACAAAGCACACCAGTGCCGGAGCACTTTTGGAAGATGAGATGTTGAAAAGTGCACGACGTTGTGGCGCGAAGCACATTTCCAAGTCAAAAGCTGAAAGAGACCACATGACTTTTGGACGTTCAGATGTCGTTTCGCGTGGCAGGCGCGAGGGATTGTGCGCCTTGTCAAAAGTGAGCAAAACGTGAGAGTTTTGTGATGTTTTGTGGCATTCCAAAAATGATGGCAGGCATCGGACATTTGAAGAGGATCTGCAAAGATGCATTTCGCGTGGCAGGCGCAGTACAAGAGACGTGTTCATCAGAGATGTTAGGAGGTCAGGGCATTGATTTCCCGAGAGAGTTTGCACTTTGGAGCATCAGATCTTCAGATTTGCTAACATGATTTTGCGTGACAGGTGCAGCACTTCGTATGACCTGGCATCACTTTTTCGTGGCACGCGCAGTACTTTAGACAGATGGAGTGGAACAATCGCAAATTGCATTGGTACGAGGCCGCAGGCTCTGCACCCAACTTTCCAGCATTGAAGGAAGTCTCGCAGAATTGCTTCGTTTTTGATGGAAGTTTCGTGGATTGACGTTGTCAACTTCAAACATTGAGGACGTCTCGCAGAATTGCTTCGTTTTTGACGCTGTCAACTTCGAAAATTGAGGAAGTCTCGCAGAATAGTTTCGTTTTCAAGCTTGCAGATAACACTACTACGCTACACGCTACCCTATGCTACCCTATGCTACGCTAGCTACACTACGCTACACTACGCTACACTAGGCTACACTAGGCTACACTACGCTACACTACTACAACTACAAAACAAATACAAATAATTACGAACAATCCACTCCACTACACTCCACGACACTGCACTAGTTACGCTACTCTACAAGGACAGCTACAACCACAACTGCAACTACAACTACACTGCATTCCACAAGACTACGCTACACTAATTAGACTACACTACACTGCGCTACACTGCACTGCGCTACACTACACTACACTACAACTACACTACAGCTACGCTACAGCTACACTACAACTATACTACAACTACATTACAACTACACGACAACTACACTACAACCACACTGCAACTACACTACAACTACACTACAGCTACGCTACAGCTACACTACAACTATACTACAACTACATTACAACTACACGA